GAGATGATCCATCACTGGGAAATGGGCCGTATGGTTTAGTGTTGGTTTTGGCTGCCAGCCTGGAAATAAGGGGAATTGGATTAAAGCAGTGGCCTTGATTCAGCTGCAGAAGGGACAGCATTTAACGGACTTCTGCAAAGTTACTGTCTTTGGGATGTGAATTTGAAAGCTTTAGTGTTGTCCTGTTTGACAGAAAACTGAGTCCTAATTGTCAAAAGACAATGTTTAGGTCCATTGGGGTGGGCAGAGGAACTGCAGAGGTTTAGTGCCTGCTGGTTAAATGATTCTGGCCAAGAAGAAGGCTTCTCCTTCTGCATGAGGCGGCCCATGGTTCTGTAAACCCCCCAGCTGCCTCCAGCACTCTGAATTCAAAGCTAAGGGAGATAGTGGATTCCAGAGCTGAGGGAAGGCTGTAGGGAATGCCAGTCAGAAACATCTTCTGAACTGTAGGATGGGCAGGGGAGGAGATCAGAGGTGAAATGTATCCTCTGGATCAACCTTGCCAATATGCTCCTGAACTGTCTCTCTGCCAAATGCCAGCGCTGCCCCGGGAGCCAGCTGGCACTGCAGCACTGCTGCATGTGCCCAGGGTGGTGTATCTGCTCTTATGCTACATCTGTACTTCTCTTTTAGTGGTATCCAACTACCGAAGTTGCTGCATTGCTGTCACCAGGGAACAGGCACTTTTGTTTCCTACCTGGCTTCCTCCCCCTCTCTCCCATTAAAGCCACTCATCTCTTCAGTCCACTTCCCTTTCTCCCTGTGTTTCACAGTCTGCAGTCAGACCTCTGTGATAAACTCTTACTTTTGCCATTTTCAGTCTCTGGTCTGCAGAAGGAGAGGAGGAAGGCTGGTAACCACCCCTCTTACCTATTCCTACTATTCAGTCTCACTTGTGGGCTTAACCTGATGGTTCCCTTCTTCCTAGAGCTCCCAGGCTATGAACAGATAGTGTGGTACAAGCTGTATGTGTGAAGAGATCAGGCTTTCTGTGGCCCAGCCTTCCCTGCTGGCAGGTTAAATTCATGAAGGTGCAAACCCTGCCATCTGTGAAGGCTGCTTTGCAAAGGATACTGCTCACGATGCTTGACCAGCACCAGAGTGACAGGGCCAGACGGATCCAGAAGATGTCTTTGCTGTGAAGTTCTGGCTGCATCAGGTAGGACAGGATGGTCTGAACCAGCATGTAGATGGCCCCTACTCCAAATGTCAGGCAGGCTCCAACCACGTGGATGTAGTAGAGGATGCATTTCTAGGGAAGGAAGGCACTGCTTGTGCAGAACCTGCTTTCATTTTGAACTCCAAGAACTCCTTCCCCTGTAAACCTTTGGCATTCCAGCCACTCCATTACCTTCCCACAGCCCAAGCTGAGCAGATTCTTCTTGGAAACCCTGTACAAAGCCAGTACCTGCAGCCCCCTGTACTGCTGCTTTCATTAAGCTCTTAGGGCTAAGTTACAGGTCATCTTAACTATGGGCATTGTAAGAGCTGCAGGGGCTGCTGAAGCACTTGGAGAGCTGTGCTAGGGGAAAGGAAGGGAAAAAGGTGGAGCTTTCCAGTTCTTCCTCTTTGCTATTCCCTGGCCCTAATCCAGCAGGAGAGCAAGGTGACACTGCAGCCTCTAGTGGCTAAAGGCACCACTATGGAGCCCCCACATCCAGCAGGTAGTTAATGAAACGTGGCTGGTAACTGTACAACTGCCCTGCATGTACCAGCCACCGATGCAGAATGTGACCCTGCTGATGGTGTGAGAATATCAGATTATGTTCTGGAGGAGGAGGTGGGAAGTACTGGGGAGAAAACCAAAGTAAGAGGCACTGGGATGGAGAAATTCAAAAGCTGGTTGATGCTGCAGTAACCTTCATTGTAGAGGTTTGAAGGAAAATACACCTCAGAGGGCAGATTTTATGGGGCTGGGCTCCTGGTGAGCTTGGGTGGTTCTGTTTTACTTGCTTTACTTCCAGCTGTAACAAGTCTTAGATACCTGATGCTCTTGAGGCAATGTATATGCTATAGCTGTGGCCTTTGAATCTGTAACTTCCAAACCTCCTATAAGGAAACCTGCTGTCTGCTTTCTGCCAAACTTGGGGGGGGGGGGGGGGTGGGGGGGGGTTGAAATGTCCCCGTGGATAAAGCAAATAAGAAATAAGGAAGGAATTACAACCAAACCTTGGGGTGTTTAACAGTTTGCTGAAGGGAATTTGACAAAACCCAGGTCTGCCCCAGAACACTGCAGGCAAAGCACACACCTGGAAATTTGCAATGATGCAAAGGCCAAAGCAGCTCATCAGGCCGAGGGTGAGGCCAATCTTGTTAAGCCTCAGGATCCTGGATCTTTCTGGATTCAAAGCATAAACTTGTTTGTAGCGGACATACATGGTGGCCATACCTGTTAACAAAGAACCCAGACCAGTAAGGTGTTCATCTGAGGAACAGACTGGCCTGGTTGAGCTGGGAAGATGCTGAGTGACAGAGGCAGCTATTTATAATGCAAACCCCGTCTTCTGGCAGCCTGAAATGAGAAAGCTGGGAATCTGGAAGGTAAAACTGCAATAATATCATGGCAAACATGTCAACTTACTGCATTTTGCTGCTCTCTTTACAATTGAAAGACAATACCAGGTTGTTCTTCCCCCTCTCTGCAACCACAGCACAAGGTGACTGCCTTGCATTTGGATTTCTCTTTCTTTTACTACTCTGTTGGGATTTTCAATGCATTTTTAGCCTTCTGGCCTCTGCAGTTGTCATGCTGGATGTGGGTAACATCCCTGACAAGCACTTCCCCTCCGAATCTGAAGAGAATGAAGATTAATTGCTTAGAATTTAGGTTTTGACTGCAAATTCTGGGCTGTTTAATGATCTGAGTAAGGAAATGAAGTGGTTTAAAGCTGTGTGCATTCCACAACTGCTGCAGTTCAGCCAGGGCAGCTTTCTGTACTCACCCAAGAAAGCCGAAATATTTAACATGATCCCAAATAAGCATCTCTCAGGTGGTGTTGTCCCTGTGTCACTGGAAGAGACAAATGGAGTGACATGTATCTATCTATACTAAAAATACTTAGTCTAAGAAACAGGTTTGTGGAAAAAATCCCTTTTTTTCACTGGTTTTTTTCATTGTTCAAACCATACTTCATTAGTTTCCAGAGATGCAGAAATAAGCATGGTGAAAACATGCTACCCTCAGAACAAGGAATGAACACACTTGGTTGTAGCTATCCCTTCTATATTCATCTTCATTCCATAAAAGGTGAATAAAGAGTATTAAAACCAGGGAAATTAAGAACCTGGAAAACTGAAAGCCCAAAAGTAAGGTTAAATATACAGGTTTGATGCAATGCAGCTGGGAATACAGATCATAGTACAGGTTTACTGGTGTAACAGCAAGATGCTTTCAACAGAGAGCTGGAAATGCACCCTGTTTTCTTGTTCATCATCAATTTAAGGCTACCTTCACAGTTTAAAGGTTACACGCAAATAACTATTAACAGCCAGTAGCTTTAGAACTGGAGCAGTCAGGTAAGAACTGCTGTTTAGAGTTTGGAGTTGGGGAAAAATCAAGAGGAGGAGCCAATACTGTGACACAGGATGAGTGTTACTGACCTGATGTAGGGCACCAAAGGGTCCACGTGGTGGAGGACAATTGCAGTGATGTATGAGAACACAAAAGATGCAGCTGACCAAACAACCAAAACCACAGGCAAGAACGAGAGGCCTTGCTGAAACCACCACATTTCAACACTGGTGTCCAACTCTGAACACTGGGAAGAATCAAATCCAAAGGTTTATTAAGACTTCTCAAAGGTTTTGCTGTTCTGGAGGCTAATGCTTCAAGTACAGCAAGTTGATGTTGCTCTCAGTCCTGGCCTGCAAACACAGAGTGAACATTTGACTTCACAGCACAGAAACAATCGTAAATAACATCTGGAAGTGTTAATTATGAAATTCTTAGAACAGCATGAGAAAAGAAGCCAGTACTGTCACTTCAGTAAGTGTCTCAGCATTTGTTGTTGCCACAATAAGGTCAAGTGAGTCACTGTGAATAACTGACTCTATTTTCTTCTTACCTTTATGTCATAGCACCATGGTAGAATTAGTGAGGCTGATGGAGAATGTGTCCCAGTAGTGACAGTTGAACTGATCGTGGCTGTTGTAGAGCCTCCAACTTCTATTAACAACCAACTGGGCAGACGTGGAGGAAATGACCTAAAATTACTTTAATACCTGCACTCAGTCACTCCCTGTCATTCTGTGTGACTCAACATCTGTTATAAGCATCACTTCAACAAGCTCACAGATTATCTATGAGCTGAGTGCTACCAGCCACAACCTTCCAACCCAAGGCCTACTTACTCCTGGTGGCAGTGTAGCAGCTACACCTGTGTTTCTACAGGTGGGAGGAAAAGGTGCATTTCCAGTGGAGCGAAATGGCTCTGTCCTAGAGCAGTTCCATGAGTCCCAGCCTGACCACTAATCTGTGTCTGCACCTCCAGTTCTCTCAGAGCAATTATGTGCACCTGTGTCACCCTTCTGAGCTCACACAGAGAGCTGTGACTCTGCTCCTGCTGCTGCAGGGAAGTGCTTTTCTATTGGCTTCAAACAGAAAGTTAAACAGAGCTAATTTCAGAACCCCAGAACCACTGAGGTGGGACAGCACCTCTGGAGGTCATCTTGTCTAACCCCCTGGCCACCCAGAGCCAGTTGTGCAGCATGGCCTTGGAGTATCTCCCAAGGATGGAGATACCACAGGCTCTCTGGGCAAGCTGGGCCAGTGCCCAGCCACCCTCACAATGAAGAAGTGTTTCCTGATGATCAGACAGAACTTGCTGTGCTTCCATCTGTGCCCACGGCAGCTGGTCCGGGGCACTGAGAAGAGCCTGGCTCTGTCTGCTTTGCACCCTCCCTTCAAGCAGGGAGATAAGATCCTCCCACACTGATGAGATCCCACCTCAGCCTTCTCTTCTCATGTTTTCTGCCATTTTACTGATGGCATTCCCCGACACTGACACCGGGGAGAGTAGTGCAGAAGGTGTTTAAGCACAGTTGAATCTGGAGACTGTAAATGGAAGATAAAATGGGACAAAGGGGAAGAGCAACTAACAAAGAGTGCAGATCCAAGGGCATCCAAGCAAAGATCAACCAGTATGTGAGGAAAGCAAAACGATGTTGAGACAGAACAAGGAAAGCAGCACTGAGAGGCTTCAGGGGGTGGGCACTGCCTGAGGTGTGAGAGACAGAGAAAGGAGCAAGAGGAAAGGCAGAACGAGGTAGGAAGCACCCAGACTAATAGGAGATGTAGTGAGTGATAGAATGAAAGGTGCTTGCTCTCTTACCCTTAGGCTTTTGTTTTTACGTAAGCATAGCATTTGCCCTCTAATGCTGAGTTTCATTTTGAGACTGTAATGCAGGAAAAACAGTAACGAATGTAACTTCACAATCTCGTGTGAATAAATTGGGAATTTGGAAAGGGAATGCAAATCCTGCCCAGCACTGGCTGCTGCAGCTCTTACACGCCCGGGCATGCAGTTCAAAACTCAAACTAATCTGATGCTTAGACTGTACTTTTCCTTTAGCATTTACATGTTAATAGTGCCCTAAGTATTAACAACCTAAACAACCAACCAATATGCCACACACCTGAGAACAAGGGCCTTGAAAGAAGTGTCACCTCACGGGGAATCCAAAGTCATCTTTCTGCTGAAGTTCCACATTTGCTTCATTTTTCTCCTAGATAACTTTGAGATATAAAGGAAAATAATCAGGATACCTCTTACTCTATTGTATTTCTTCTCCTCCTTTCCATCTTCTCTTAGTCATTGCTGCTGACTGACTGTTGGGTTAGATATGTTGGGTTAGATGTTGGCCTGACACCGTGTTTTCCTGCATTCCAAGTGCTTTAAGGAGTGAAGCTGGTGTGTGGTGGGATGGTGGAAATGCAGAAAAACAGGGCTTAAGACTTTGATTTATTGGACTTGTCTACACAGATTTAACTCAAAGGGAGAAGCTTTCAAGTAAAGCAGAACAGCTGTTCCTAATTTCCCCCCTGGATCTTGCTCTTATTACATGATAGATGTGTCCATGCAGGCAAGGTCTGCTCCAGAGCTGCAGGGAAGCCCTCACTCAGTCAAGACTGAGCATCTCTGTGACCTGAGCTGTCACTTAGCCCAGAGCTAAGGCCTGGACACAAACTGTGGTGGTTTTCATGTGGTCAGGTTAAAGGGCAGTGAGGTTGCTTCAGCTGTAGCCTGGGAGCCCCGGTGAGGCACCACTTCTCCCTGTGAATGTAGCTGCCGGCTGGTAGGTCCCCACAGTTCCAAGATTAGAGCTGGTTTGGGCTCTGTCAGAGAACTGCAGCTCTGGTCCTCTTGCTTCCACAGACACAACCCTCTGACACATTCTCCTTGCACTTAAAGCTGTTTTGTACATTTTTTCTCCACTAAATTCTTAGCTCCATCAAGATCTTCCCTAAATTCTTACCCTCTCCCATCACCTTCATTTCTGTTTAAATTTCCCCAGTGAAATCAAGTCACTTTTTCACACTCTCATGAGGGCAGACTGTATGTACCCACCACAGGCTTTGGTCCCTGCAAAGCACTGGGTACATTGATAGCACCATCTGCCTCAGGCCATCCAAACTTCACACTGCTGCAGATACACCGTGTCCTGCAGGGCTCTGAACACCGAGTGTCTGGGCAAGCACATAGGGAGGCATCCCAAATCCCAGGGAGGCAGGATGCGCCTGCCTTGTGATCTGCCAGCTGGATGGTCCTGAAATGATTATTAATACCTCATCCTGTCCTGTTGTTTTCAACGTGGAGGAAGAAAAAACACTCCTTTCACAAGGTCCTTCGGCAATGGATGATCTCATGGCAATGCCTGGCCCCTCTTTGCAACACTTTTGCGTCCTAAGGGGGTTTTTAAGCCCCAGACTGAGTATCACAGATCTCTGCTGGGACAGACATTATCAAACCACCATCAAGAAGAAGTCAAGGAAGCAGATTTTAACCACCTCTGAGGTTTCTCTTTAAATGCAGCAACGTTCCGCTTGAGCATGTGGAACAGAAACTACAGGGAGGTGGCCAAGACCATTAACAGCAGAAAGTTAACGTTGGTGAGAATGATAATGCTGAAAAAATGGTCAAAGTCTGTGGGGAAAAGGGGAATGTCTAAATTACTGCTGATCCCCAGATTGTCAACCCGCCTCCTCCCCGCTTTTGCAGCAGAGATAAAGCTGTACAAAGGGATACTCCTTTTTCACTCCAGCCAAACAGCCCAACAACCAGCCACTGCTGAAGGAGCAAAGACAAAGCAATTTGTGGCGTGCGCGCCGGGGTAAACGCGAAGGTTGGATGGGGGCGAGTCAGAAAGGGATCAAATGTATTAAACTGGCGGAGTTAAAGTGATAAACAACAGTGAAACGTGGTTCAACCCTCACAGGACTAGAAGTCAAGTCGGAACTGTGTCACCTTTGCTGTTCCCACTGCAGGGTAAGGACAGATGACTCTTTGTGAGTGTTTCCTCACCCGAGGAGTTGCTCTTACATCTTTTGGAGGTGGAGGGGAGCTTCCAGAGAGCCGGAGCTCGGATCTTCGTGCCCTCACTAAGGCCCCGTTACCCGGCAGCAGGATGGCACCGCAGCAGAGCAGGCAGAGGCAGGCCCTGCAGCCGCCCGTCAGCCCGACCTGCCCCGGGG